CGTTTCAGAGGCAACACAAGCCTCCGTCTTCAGGTGGTACCGTCAAAGCCACGACGGCTGTATCAAGTAAATGAGAGATTGTAGGAGCTACCACTCCGTTTATATGTAGCACTGAAATAGTGCAAAGAATGTGTTTTATCATCATCGTAGGTGCTCATTTCACGTTTCGTCATTTGTTTCCACTTTTCCCCGTCCGGTGCCAATATGCTCAAGTAGTGGCCACATCTTCCTGGCACCAGCCTCTTGTGCCATTCTCTGTTAAGGTCATCTTCTCATACGGAGTATTTATATACCAATGCTGCCCACAACAATGTGGATACAAAAGGTAAAGGAACAGGTGAGGAAGGTACTCTTTGTTTTTTTTCGGTAAAATCACGTAGGTTAAAAGAAAACAAATGAATTCAATCACGACGTTTCGGAGGCAACACAAGCTTCCGTCTTCAATTTATTTATTTTCTTTTAACCTACGTGACTTTACCGAAAAAAACAAAGAGTATGAATCCTTGCAGTCACGAAAGCTTCAAATCTAGAGGTAAGGAAGAGGTAAATGTCACGATCTGGGTTCATGGTGGAACAAAGCCGGGGCAGGAGCCAGGGCTAAGTGGCAAGCGCAGAAAAAGGGAAGGCGGCCTCTGACAAATGGTCAGCGCCACAGTTACAAACACAGTGCTAATTATTACAGTCAATCACCATTTACATGCAGTCCTTGCTTCTTTATTAATATAACCGCGAGAGCTGCCATTATTATGTTATGATTGAACTTGTTGAAATACACACACACGCACGCTGCTCCATGCGGAAAAATACCCATTTGAAAGCAGTGGGGTTTTGTTTTTCAGTGATTTTTTTTATGGAAAAGACCACGTTCTACTTGATACGCTGAAGTCTGTCCATTCCAAATCACGTAAAGCATGGGTCCTATCCTGCAGAGTCTCAAGTGAAAAGTATTCGCTGGAGTGACTTGCCCCCAATAGCCATGGATATCGATACATCAAAAACAAAACTAGGACATTGTGAGGGCCATTGCAACGTTTACATTTTACGTCGATGCCTAAATGATGGAGCATGGATTAATTAATTGTCCGGTACTCTTCCTCCACTTATATTGCCATCATCATCAGCCGTGAGCAATCCACTGCTGAATGAAGAGCTCCATGAGCCGTCACTGTCTCTCACGGTCCCACAATCTAAGCATCTACACCCTACACACGAGCTGATTTCATCGCTCCATCTCCTCGGTTGGTGCCTTCTCGGCCGCGTTTAGATTATTCAGATTATTTGGCTGCTATAAATGTGCACACGATAAGCCACTTTGTTGAGCTATCATTTGTGGCCAGGTCACTTCTGAAAAAAGAAGCTAATAACTCAGTGGGCTTTACCTGGTAAAATAAAAATAAAATTGTTTAGTTTCGTGGTTTGCTTACCTTTCCTATACATTGCACCCCTATCGTGTTTTTGCATTCTTTGTTATTGCAACTTTCTGACCTACCCCTATTGGAACCTCTGTGAAAAAGAGCTTCATAGCTCATCGGATTCCTCCAGTATAAATACAAATTCAGATTCTGGCGATAAAAATGTAAAGCCCTTTATAAATCTACTGCTGGATGAAGCCCTCCCTATGCCTTCCCATCGTGGCAAGTTTTTTGACCGTACTTCTCCCCCCCCGTTTCATGCCTGACATGGCATGTGTAAGGCCTTCACTCATTCAGTAGTGGACTGACATGGAGATGTAAATTATGATCATCTTCACCATTACGAGTGCATTAAACAATGCACGTGCACCAATGTTCATCCGGTGTTAAAACAAGAAAATAATAATTATAATAATAATACTCAAGACTTAAATATGGGCCCCACATTGTGTCTGCCTCTGTGTGGATCACAATTTGTGATTGAATAAGACTGTTTATTGCGAGGCATGGCACAGCACTAATTGCAGCAATTATGAAGCACTACACACTTGCACTTAAGCCTCTGGTAATTTTTGACGTTTTTAAAAAACGGGGCCAGCTTTTAATAATGAAAAGCCAGAGCCCACAAAAGGGGATTTCGTCTTGGAGTATACATGTTTAACAATTTCCATAATTACGTCCGCCGTCTCGATTGAATTAATAAAAAGACATAAAAGAATACAAATGCTGATTGGGTATAATTATTTCTAATTTCCTCTGAAAAATAGTTTCGGCACCGCCGCCACCCTCCAGCCTTTTAGTGAAATTGATAACCGGGTTTTCGCTTTGCCCCGCAAAAGGCAGTAATGGTCGCGGTTGAATATATGCACGAGGGTTTAGTTCAAACGTATTGCCGTTTTGCAGGGGCGGCAATGGAAATGGCAATAAATGCGCGCACGAAAAGCCAAAAAACGGTCCTGAGCAACGTATTTATTCACTCGAAAATACATCGCCAGAACAAATGGTTACTTTGCAGCGGTGCCATTAGCACGGGCACCGCCTGCAAGAAAGACGAATGTTTAGACGCACGCAGACTCTATTATGTCCGATTATTTCACAGCCACTTACACTCGACACGTAAATACATGTGTAGGAGTCAGATATGCAAGTTAATACGGCAATGCAAGGTAGATAAATGACTTTGATAGTTATTTATTTTGCTTCACAATATAGGCTTTGTTAAATAATATAATCAGCTGCTGTTATCGGGTTTGTGGGTGGTCTACAATTTTATTAATATATATAAACGATGCCTTAATAGAAATATAGGTTTGAATGACGGTACATGGAAATTTAGATTCGTGTAGGCACTGATTTAAATCGTTCAAGAGCACTTTGGCAGAGCGCTTAGCTCACAATCTCGATTTAAAATCTCTGTTGGGGGTCAAATCAGCCCTATTATCCATCCAGGGTCCATAAAATAGGTACTCCTGCTGAATGGTAATTCAACAGTGGTTTTCCTATACATAGATTAGCCTCGACATAATAACGGGAAATTTCCACCACTGACTCAGGACAGTCAGTGGTGATGAGCATCTACCACGCGCGGATGCGTGTTTGGAGAAACTGCATTATTTGACTTTACGACATAAATATTTGCAGCATTAAGTTTAAAATCACGCGGGCAGATTGTTAAATGTTTGTCGCTGCGCCATGAATATGAAACGATCACATAAACGATTATGATGAGTATAAGTGCCACGGTTATAATTAACTAGTAATGTTTAAGTTATTATTTTTTTTTACAACAAAGGAATAGCTTTGCTGCAAATCAGTGAAATAGCATTCATCAAAGGGAAAACAAAACACATGGCTTATGAATATTCCGTGCAAATGTAGATATTTTAACTGGCTTCTGCTCTTGACCATAAACTCCCGAGCACAGAGGCAACATCTAAGGGCACAATGCTGCCCACCCACATTCTTGAGCAGATTACACGGAATGTGCAAGCCCCATTGAGCTGTGCACAGATGCAAGCAAGCCCCAAGTTGAATTTCACCACCACCACCAACAACAACACTTATGTTCGGCCAGTGTTTAACAACGAGCCCGTCTGCGGCTGCTATGTAAAATATCTATTATTTATAATAAAAAAACTATAAAAAAAAGTTTCAGCTCTTTAATTCTAGGTTTGAAGCTTTCGTGACTGCAAGGATTCATACTCTTAGGTTTTTTTTTTCGGTAAAGTCACGTAGGTAAAAAATAAAATTAAAAGTTAATAAAAGTAATAATGGAAATAAAATAAAATAATAAATCACGACGTTTCGGAGGCAACACAAGTCTCCGTGTTGCCTCTGAAACGTCGTGATTTATTATTTTATTTCCATTATTACTTTTATTAACTTTCAATTTTATTTTTTACCGACGTGACTTTACCGAGAGAGAGGAAAAAAAAAACCTCAGAGTATTTCAGCTCTTTCTCAATCCACTGCTGGATGAAAGGCCTCCACGAGCCAGAGGTTGTATATTTCATTGCGCTGGTCAGTGTGGGTTGGCCTGAAGGGCGAGCCCAAGACCGGTTCAGATATCACTCGTCACTGATATCAGTGACATGCATTCGCTCACCACTGAGCCACTGCTGCACTCCATCTGTTATATATATGTCTTTCTGATAGTTTTATCCACTTAGAAATTGAATCGCATAATACAATAACCTGTATACGTGTGTGTGTGTGTGTGCATTAGGGGCATAAAGATACAAGCGAGCATTACTGAGAAATGGGATGAGAAGGTGGTAGGTGTAAGGCATATCCTAAGAGGGACATGGCTGGAGATGATACGAAGATAATCCAACGGTGAAAAAAGGGAAGGGAGGAAGGGGAAGAGGCAAGAGAAGGATCGGTTGGTGAGACTTTGTGAGAAGTTGGGCAGTGCTCTCTGTGAAAGATGCTGAAGTGTGGAAATCGTCCGGGACTCCTCAGATGAATCGTCTCTTACAAATGTAAATTGTTATTATAAGTACTCTTAGGTTTTTTCGGTGAAGTCACATAGGTAAAAAATAAAAATAATAATAGAAATAAAATAATAATAAACGAAAATAAATCAATTAAATTGAGCTGTGACGGTCCCACCTGAAGACGGCGACTTGTGTTGCCTCCGAAACGTTGTGATTTAATTGATATATTTCCATTTATTATTATTTTATTTCTATAATTATTGTTATTTTTTACCTACGTGACTTTACCGCAAAAACCTAAGAGTATGAATCCTTGCAGTCACGAAGGCTTCAAATCCAGAATGTTATTCTAAGTGTTTATGGAGAAGAACTCTCGGCTAGACAGATGCTCACATCCAACAGCAGGACGACAAAGGGATAGAATCAATTCTTGCGCACACATGCTGGGTCAACTGGTGCATCACAGGCTCACAAGGGATGGCAATGGCTCGGTTCGACCATCGAGCAGCGGATCGATCATGGCTCATTAACGACGACGAGTCACCGACGTAAACAAAGCAAACGCGCGTGCCAATTTCCACACCCGAACGAAAACCGCTAAACGAACGAACCACAACAACAACTTGGCGGGCATGCGGGCGGGCGGGCTCACCTCGCGAAAAACGACGCGGCGATGGAGCCGCTCCCCAGGTGCAGGGCAGCGCCACTGGGAGGCAGGGAGGGGCAGCGGGAGGAGAGGGCGGCGGCGGTGGTGGCGTCGCTCGCCCCCGCGCACGGCCTCTGCTCGGGGTCCGCTTGGGTGCCCTCGGCTCGCTGCTGCGACCGTGGTCCCTCGCGACGGCCCTCCGCTACGAGCGACGACACCTGCGACGACGAGGGCACGCGGGGGGGCGGGGGGGGCTTTTACGCGAGGCTCAAGGGGGAAAGGTCTCTCTCTCTCTTTCGGCGTCTGGAGCCTTTTAGGATGTTTCTCCATCAGAGTCTTCATTTCGACTGCGGGAGGAATCCGATGAGCAAGGAAGCTCTTTTTGCGCAGGTGTCCAGTTTTGGGCTGGGGTCAGCGAGTTACAACACCAACATGATTGCCAACACTCAAATATATCTTCTTGGTTCTTTCGGTAAAGTCACGTAGAAGGGAAGTAATACAATAATAAAAATAAAACATAATAAAATAATTCTCATTATTATGTTTTAGTTTTATTATTTTATTACTTCCCTTCTACGTGACTTTACCGAAAGAACCAAGAAGATGAATCCCTGCAGTCACGAAAGCTTTAAATCGAAACTCAAATATATGTTGAAAAAAATTGCACTGGCCACTTTGATTTTGGGAGTGAATATAAACAGACTGTCAAATATGGATTTTAAATGGATGTTTTTTTAAATATATATAGCTTATTCTCTGAGGAATCAAATTTAGCCAGATTGCTGGGCTTGTATACCACGATATTATTGCTGATGTCGCTCATTTTTTTTTGGAAACCGCAAATTCAAGCCAAGCGTTTGGCAAAGCATTAAATAAACATGATCTTCACAGTGAATTATTCATCCAACGTAAGAAATCACTTTGGAAGCGCAAAAAAAAAGCCATCATAAACACTAATAGAAACCGTTTATGATTAATTTAAGAAAGTTTAAAGTTTTCATATCCTGCAGAAAGAATGTAGTACAGTGCTTATTATTACACCACACTGTGTTCTCACACCAGGACTCTTTGCGGCAAGTTCTGCATCGGAAGTGTATTCTGGTGAGGCTGACACTCAGAAATATCTTGCTCACTAAACATTTCTCGGAAATGTGCTCAGAAATATATTGTTAATGCAGGCCAGCAAAATCCCCGTCGAAGGTTGCCTATAGGGTTTTATTGTCATTTAAAATTCCTACAACTGCTCTTTCAAATTAAACATAAAATTTTAAATCCTATGCATATTTTATGAGCTATGGCTATCATTTATTACGGGATCCTATAAAACACAAGCAGATTCTTTTTTTTTTATCAATTCTAGACATCTCACATGAGTTAAATTTAAAAGGGATGTGTATAAATGTTCGCGTGATAGAAGTCTGTACGGGTCCAAGGCCCCTCTGAAATGCGGCTCATGATTTTTTTTGTATTCAGGATTTTTCTGAAGCTCAAATTCACAACATTCAAAAATACATTTTTCAAGGAGCTATTTCGACACGTTTGCATGTATGTATGTATGTTGAACTTCTTTCACACCCTACCTAGCCAACCTTGCTAATCGGATGCGCTGGGGAACGACAACAAACTAAACATAAAAAAGTAGTTCAGACAAAAAAAACTGTCACTCGTCCATCGTCTTATTTAGTTTGCTATTGAGAGGACACATCGTCAGAAGAGATACTGATCAGTGGGAAAGACTCACAAAGTAGTGGCAATCAACGGATGGAGCGTTCCCGTGGCAGACAGATGGAGCGATGACGTCAGCTCATGTTGCAGCATCCATATGGATTTCTTGCATCCTGAGACCACCGTGACGGGTGCGAATTATTGGGGAAGGCCTTTCTCCGCCAGTGAATATGGCACAGGTGATGATGTTGATTAGACAAACGAACACGGCGGTGGTGGAGTGGGCCGGGGGGAGGAGAATCTCAGTCAAATATAACAAAATCAACCGCGTTACTAAATCAAGCAGTTCAGTCTGCCAACAAAAAAGCCCAGCTAGCTATTAAATCCGAAGCTCTCCAATTCAACAGACAGCTGCGCCTATTATTGCAAATCGCTCTTCACTTTTCATATTCAGTCGCAGGGCCCTCTCCATGCCCCCATTGTCCCGGTGCCCTCATCACTGCCAATGACGAACTTGTTTGCAAATGCATAACGGCCCCGATAATCTCTCTTGGTTCTTTCGGTAAAGTCACGTCGAAGGGAAGTAATAAAATAATAAAAATTAAACACAATAAAATAATTCTCACGACGTTTTGGCCACAACGCAAGCAGCCGTCCTCAGGTGAAAACCAGGTCCTGGTGACTTTACCGAAAGAACCAAGAGGATGAATCCCTGCAGTCACGAAAACTTTAAATCGAAAACGGCCCCGATAATGTTGCGAATCAACGAATGGGAAATAAGCGCCACCAGCATCACGTCACTGGAAAACACACGCAACCCCGTTCGTAAAAACCGAGGTAAGCCTTTGTCATACCCAGCCATTTCACCGCTTGACGCATCTTTACTCGCGAAAGCTTCAAATCAAGATTGAGACATCTTGTTATTTACACCCGGTTGGGCCTCCCTGCACTGGCTTCCAGTTTCACGTAGAATACAGTTTTAAAATCATATTGTTGACTTACAAAGCAGTGAACCATCTTGCTCCAGCCTACATCATTGACATGGTTCGCCCAGATGTCCCCTCAAGGTCCATAAGATCTGGGGATGCAGATCTTCTCTGCATTTCCAGGTCGAGGTTTCGGTCTATGGGTGACCGAGATTTTTCCCGTGTTGTCCCCAGAACGCTCTTTCTCAAGATATCAGAATCTCTTGAGTCTGTGGATCTTTTTTTTAAATGCGCATTTAAAACATATTTATATACTTCCGCTAATTAAATGCTTAGTTAATTTAGTAAATTATTTCGTAAATGTATTTATAAGATTATGTATATGCCGAGTGTCTGCTGCTGCTGTGTCCTGTACAGCACTTTGATACTCTTGATGAAAAGCCGCTATATAAATGCAATTATTATCATCACTACTTTGCTTGCAACACATTTTTTCCACTTCGCCCGAGTGTTTCTCGGACTTTGTTTTGCCCTGCGCGCAACTGCGGGAGGAGGGGGGGGGCGAAGGGGGAGATTGCACAACGAGAGCGCGCGCTGTGCTCAAGCGACGAGGCAGACCTTTGCACGCAGGAGTCCACGCTCTCGGCACCGTATTTGCGCGCCCCGTGTGTTTTCCTGTTTGCGCGCCCACCCCGCGCGCGTTGTTGACGCAACGCTTGGATAAAGCGCCCGTGGAAACACCACCGGCCGGCCGGCGTGCGCGTAGCGCAACAACACGTCCGTGCTCTCTATTGCGTGACTGGATCGTGGGTCGCGAGGGCTGTCGTTTGCATTGGTTAACCGTATTTAATTTACACCGATACGATAGTGTATTGACCTCCGATTAGCACGGTTGGCTACGTACGGTGAGAATTAATTTCAGCATTCGTATGTACTAATTTAGAGCCCGATGTTAATACACTGCTGTATGGAGGCCTTCCCAAGCCGTGTTAGTCGTGGAGGTTGTTTGCCAATGCTTCACCGTGCTGATGACTCCAGTTTGGTAGAAGAAAGAGGCTAAGACTGGCTCAGATATGACTCGCCACTGATGTTAGCCGGGGCTGGGACTCAAAACTCAGTTGGGGTCAAGGTTCACAGCGCAGTGCCATCACCAATGCACCGCCACTCTGCCACTTGATCTCAATGCAGCAAATCATCTTTGCCTCACCCACATTAGCCATTATCCAGCGGCTTGACGCTGTGGTTAGAGCACTCGACTCACAATCAGCATGCGAGTTCAAATCACGGTCATGGGCCAACTTGGAGTGTTGTCCCTGAGGGGTAAATAAAGCGAGCCCTCCTTTATGGGCAATCGTCAGTATCATCCTCTGGAGTGAGCGGCTGCTGTCATCCAAACGTTGTAGCTTAACAAGTTGTTTTCCGGGCCACTAAGCAAAGATAAGTGCCGCCCAGTTTCTCATTCAAACAGAGAGAGAGAGAGACACTTTGATTTTCACTTGACTTTGAACATATTGTTTACATTCACAGCTGGTAAACAGCCTCTTTGGAGTCACGGCCAGTCTCCGTCATCGGCCCTCTTTAGATGATATCATCACAGAGGTTGAAGCTCATATACAGATATAAAGTAACTGTATCTTCTTGGTTCTTTCGGTAAAGTCACGTAGAAAAGAAGTAATAAAATAATAAAAATAAAACATAATAAAATAATTCTCACGAGGTTTCGGCCACAACGCAAGCAGCCGTCCTCAGGTGAAGACCAGGTCTGTCGGGGAGACGCTGAAACGTCGTGAGAATTATTTTATTATATTTTATTTATATTATTTTATTACTTCCCTTCTACGTGACTTTACCAAAAGAACCAAGAAGATGAATCCCTGCAGTCACGAAAGCTTTAAATCGAAAAGTAACTGTAGTTCAGAAGTGAAGAGTTGGTTGTGTCACGTTTAAATAAGCATCAGGGGGCATTCGTATACATTTGTGGCCCTGAGTCAGTGGTGGAAATTCCATATTGATAAGGCAGAGACCAGCCTCTCCAAGGGCAACGACTCTTGACGTCTGCCAAAGAGTTATTCATTGAGTCGATCCCCGGCTGAAGTTTTTTTAAATCGTGAGTGACCACCTGGTGCCACGGTGGCTAGGAGATGTTAACTACCTCGCCTGCTATACAGGAGGTCGTGGGTTCGATGCCGATCCCGACCCTGACGCCTGAATATTTTGAAGTTTCATGTTCTCCCTCTGGCTTTTTCACTCCACATTTAGAAACACGAGTGTGTGGCTGCTATCCATGTCACACATTATGATAAGCCACTTCGTTGAACTGTATCATTTGCCGCCAGGTCACTTCTGAAAATGAGCTATATAGCTCAGTGTGCCTGATCTGATAAAACAACAACAACAAACACATTGAGTTTTAGAATAACACGTAACTATACGCAACTCGGTTATTAAAAAGCCTGTACCCATGCCAGAATCTGCTCGACTTCATACCAATGGCACAGTCAGCTACATGACCCTAATTCTACTATCAGAAAGGTCCCCTGCCATCAGCGTGTTTGGTACATCATGGGATGTTAATTCCCAGCACGTGGGAAGCCAGTGGCCCGTTACCCTGCTTACAGAGCGAGTGT